TGTAGGCAGCTTGTTAGTGTCCAGTATACATCTGCACCTGAGGAACATAGAAAAGAAAGGAGAAGGGATGTTTACAGAAGGGTTGAGACCCACTTGCTGGGTGATAGTAAACGATATCTTTGTTCAGATAATACTTTGAGATCCAACTTGATCCCAGATTCTTCTTGTATGAACAAGCTGGGTATATCTGATTATATTTCCCAAAATGGCCATTACAATATCTCCCATCCCATGAGCTCTTTTTGGATTGTGATTTTGACACACTTCCCATTAAGAAGTGGGGTCTATGTTCCCTCCTCTTGAATCAAGGTGAAAATAATGTTATGTTGACTTCCATGCCAAGGTCATAAATGATGATATAACTTCTACTTAGTTCTCTCTGGGGACATTTGCTTTTAGAACTGAGCCTCCACACTCTGAGGAAGTCCAAGCAGCCCATGGAGAGGCACGTGGAGGAACCAAGCCTCCTGGTTCACAGACCTAACCTAACTTCCAGCCAACCTCTGGCACCAACTTGCCGGGTATGTGAATGAACCATCTTAAAAATGGATCTTTAACACCCTGCTGATCCACCCTAGATGGTATCACATGGAGCAGGGACAAGCTTTCCCTAAAGATCCTTGCAAGAATTTCAGATTTTTAAGCAAACTAAACCAAATGCTTCATGTTCTTTAAGGCCACGAAGTTTTGTTGTTGTGTTACACAGCAATGAATAACTGATACAGAAAACAAATGATAAATGACTGTATAGCCAGATCAAGCTTGTCATTCCATCCATCCCTAGCTACATACATTAAGATAGAAAACACGCAGCCATGACTATCTTTTAACACTTTATTATGGAAAACTTCAAACATATATAAAGTAAACAATGAACCCCTATGTGCCCATCACCGAGTTTCAACAGTTGTCACCATTCTGTGATTTGTGTGATTCTTTGGGTTAAATCAACATAACATTAATTTCATCTAGATTATATGTTTCCCCATTTTCCACCTGTTCTCTATTATAATATTTTAGGTAAAATCTACATGAATTCAAACGCACAAATCCTAGTTGTGTAATTCTGACAATGGATACGCTTAAATCTCAGTCATTTTCCAACTCCCCAGAAAGTTCCCTTGTGTAGCCTTCCAGTTAAGCCTTCTGTATCAGTCAGGATCCAGTTAGGAGACAGAAATCACACCAGTAATTTGAATAAAGAATATTTATTCTATTTTAATAACTAAATTCTAATAAATAATTTAATTCAAAGTTGTTCATATTAACAATGATTTTAAATTAATAATAATTAACATGTTAAAGAAAACAGGAAATGATAGACAAAAAGGATGAAAAGATGCAGGATTTGAATTGGAATGTATAAAAAATCAAATGGACATTCTAGAACTGAAAAATGCACTATCTGAAATTAAGAACTCATTTGATATACTTAATAGTAGACTAGACTCAGCATAAAACAGACTCTGTAAACTTGAAGACAATCAATGAAAACTATCCAAACTTAAGCACAGAGGGAAAAGAGAATGGGGAAAAAACAGAAAAGAACAAAAGAGGCATAGGGCCCAGTTAAAAAAAAAGAAAAAGCTAACATATTTATGACGGGAGTCCCAGAAGGAGAAGAGAGAATTAGGTAGAAGCAAAATTTGAAAATGATCAAGAATTCTCTAAAACAGATGAAAAATATGAATCAACTGATTAAGTAAGCCCAGTGAATCAAGCAGGATTAAAAGAAAAAAAATCAGCCTCTATTCAAAAGTTGGCAGGGAAATGATATCCTAAGGAGACAGCCAGGTTTTATTCAGAACAGGTAGGTGGAGTTCAGAAGAGGTTAAATATACATGGAAATCTGTGATGAAAGATAATGTATTCCAAAACTTGCAGAAGATGGGTTTTAGAAGAGTTCTAGGCATGGAAAATTGGATCAGGTGAATAGATGCAAAGAAAACAGGTAACCAGGTTAAGGTGGGTATGTGACACTCTCTTGCACCTGCTGGTAATACGGTAGCAGAGATGAGTGAAGGACTCCTCAGAATAATATTGTCTTAGGCAGTAGGGAGCACTTCTAAGGGCTTCCTTTCTCTGGGGGCAAATCAGGGTGGTAGGCTGGTGTGGAAGAGGTGCTCTCATCCAGAGGAGGAACCAGGGGTGCCTCCAGCAGCTGGGCAGTTTTATGGCAAGTGGAGAGGAAGGCGAGGTGAGGTTACAACTTCTCTGATCCTCAACTCAAGTCCACTTGTGCTACCTGTTCCATGGCCAACTTGGACATAGCTATGACTCAGAATGGCTTCATACTGAATCATAAATACAGTCAGCCCTCTGTATCTGCAGCTTCTTTATTCAACCAAATGTGGGTCCAAAATGACTGGGAAAAAATTCCATTGTTTCAAAAAGCAAAACTTTAATTTTCTATGTGGAGGCAATTATTTACATGGCATTTATACTGGATTAGGTACTATAAGTGATCTAGAGATGATTTATTTAGAGGTGATTTATACAGTAAGATGGAAGTAGGTTGTATGTAAATACCGTGTATGCATAGATTTTAGTATCCATGGGGGTCCTGGAACCAAAGCTGAGGATACTGAGGGATGACTGTATTACATCCTTTGAAGAGGCTCAGTCTTCTTCCCCAGCTCTGGGTGTGAGGACAGTTTCACCCCTCCAGGCCTACTTGCATTGATAATAGTACAAAAATGGTTTCAAAAAGGAAAAATCGATGATCCAGATTTTTCAGGTTCTCCCCATGGAAACTAAAATTCATTTTCTTTATAAAAGTTTAAAATTGTGCACTATGAAGTCAGTCATGTGTTAATATATCTAACCAAGAAAAACGTTTAATAGAAAAAAAAAAGATGACTCTGAGAGATAATTGTGCTTTCTGGCCCCTACCTCCTACTTTTCCAGCTCCCTCACTCAAATACTTCCTCTACCCTTTTTCATTCACCTCTTACAAACTTCCACTTTCTACCCACATCTCAGTATTATTTCTTGTTCTCATATCCCACACAGTCCTTAGAGTCCTAGGCCCATCACTTTAGGCACTCTCAAAAGCCTAGCTCCCTCCCCACTGCCCTTTCATTATACATGTGTGGCAAACTCCTATCCTGGATGAAATCAACTCTTATTTGTGTACTTAGGTCTGATTTACTGAGTGCTGCTTGAGAAAATCATGCAACTGGAAAGATAAGTAGCAAGCTTTCTACACATTTTCAAATATAATTGTATAGAGGTAAAACATGAATGAAACTCATCATAAAAAAAATTAAAACCATACAGATGTATATGGAGTAAAAGATTAGAGTTCTCCCCTAAAGCTATCCCCCAAAACATTTGCTGTTAATAGTTTGCCATATATTCTATGCATGTATTATTGTCTTATACACATATATACACATATAAAAACACACTTATATACAAATACACATATGCATACAAATATGAAGTCAGATAAGTAGCTAGATTTTAGTAGACACTTTTGTTAGGTAATTTGCATTTTTGTCTTAAGGCACAGGTATATATTGTTCTACATAATATCCCATTCCCTTATTTACTATGTTCACTATGTGACAATGTTACAATGAATATACTTGTACATCCTTCTGGTTACATGAGCAAGTATGTCTCTAAAGTGGATCCTCAGAAGTGGAAATGCTTGGTTTAAGGATATTCATATTTAACATTTTAATAAATATTTGAAAACTAACATCCCAAAAGGAGGGGGCTGTACTGAATTGCCCACTCCACCCCCCCACCCCCCCCACCCCCACCCCACCTCCCACCCCCCCACCCCCCCCACCCCCACCCCACCTCCCACCCCCCCCACCCACCCACCCCCGCCACTTGCCTAGGAGAGTTACTCCCCGAGCTGGGCTCTCAACACTGCCTTACCCTTCTTTCCTTCCCTGGACTTCTAATTCTCCCTCCTTGTCTGAATAACTTAACTACTCAAAACCCCTTCTACAACCGCCATCTCCTCCCAAACATCCTCATTCTTGACACACATTTCACCTCATATTTGTAGAGAAAATGGAAGTCACCAGAAGATAATTTTATTGGCTTCCTAACTCGGACATGGGTTTGAGTAAACTCCGGGAGTTGGTGATGGATAGGGAGGCCTGGCGTGCTGCGATTCATGAGGTCGCAAAGAGTCGGACACGACTGAGCGACTGAACAGAACTGAACTGAACTCAGAGCCTACAAAGCCTATCCACCCCTTGTCCTTCTTCCTTCCTGTTACAAGGTGGGTGGGGAAGGACAGTCTTTCCTCCCATTTAAGTCTTGGTTGTGTGGATCTTCCTTTCACACAAATGGCTGACTACCTTCTGGGTCGGGAAGATCCCCTGGAGAAAGAAATGGCAACTCACTCCAGTATTCTTGCCTGGAAAACCCCATGGACAGCGGAGCCTGGTGGGCTACAGTCCATGGAGTCACAAAAAGTCGGACACGACTGTGTGACTTCACTCACCTTCTATCTAAAGATCTCAGTTTCCAGTCCTCAGCTAACCTCAATCTATTTTCTGCCTTCATCACTCCACTGAAAACCCACACTTAATTTTGGGCAAAATCCACCACAACTTTTCAAGTCTTTATCTTAGGTGACACTATTGCCCACTTTCTTCATAAAGCCACACTCTCCTACTTTTCTTCCTCTATCTCCAAGGCATTTCATTCTCACTCCTCTAGCCCTTAGTTCCTCTTGTCCAAACCTTAAAAGCTGGAGTTTGGGGTTTCTGTCCTGAGGCCTTTTCCCCTTTCTCCTTGGGAGATGTCACTCATTCCCAACCCCCTCCCCTTTCAGCCACCACCACCCCTCTGTCTTCAACTCTGATCCGTGTGTTCAGCCCAGACCGCCGTCCTGTCCAAAGCTGACTTCGTCTCTTCCCCCTTTCGCTCCCCTTAACCTCCACTTCCTCTCTTCGCCAGATTTCAGTCCCTCCTCTGGGAATTCTCTTCCCATTCTTCCCTCTTCTAACTCCGCCGCCACGTGGCTCCAGTACCTCGCAGACCTGAGGAATGTAGTTCTCCCTGAAGTATTTCCTCAGCCTGGGGCTGGCCCGGCGCAGCGAGGCCATGGCCTGAGGCCCTACTGAATGCTGCGCTGCTCGCTGGCCCTCCCCACGCCCGGAGCAGCAAGAGCCACTCCGGAGCGAAGGGCTAGCGCGTCCCGGCGTTGCCACGGCAACCGCGCGATGTGGAAGGCGGGGCTAGGCGTTGCGTCGCCTCGCGCCCTCAGTGGCCTGCCGGGAAGAGAGGCGGGCCTCGGGCCGGGGCAGGGAGCCGCCTCCGGGCGTCCGGGGCGGCCCCCGGCGTGTGCTCTTGGGGCGTGCAGTGCTTGCAGCGCTTCACCCAGTCTAGCTCGCCTCCAGCCGTGCCCCGCCCATTCTCCAGGAAGCCGCCGGGAAGCTTACGAGCTGAGTGGACTCTTTCACTTTTCAGCGGGGCGGTTTCTGAGAGGCGGAGCTCAGTCGCCCATTTCCTTTCTCCAGCGGCGTAATCCCAGGCGGCGGCGCCTGGACCCGCTGCCTTCGGACACTCCCGCGCTGGGCCCAGCGCTGTGCGCGGCCCCAGAGGTAGCATGGGCGGCGCCCGGGACGTGGGCTGGGTGGCGGCGGGCCTGGTCCTCGCGGCCGGCGCCTGCTACTGCTTCTACAAGCTGACGCGGGGCCGGAGACGAGGCGGCCGCAGGCTTCGGCTGCGCCCCTCGCGGTCCGCAGGTGAGGCCACGGGATCCCTGGCAGGTGGCGGGGACTGGGACTGGGGCTTTCCCTGGATGAGGGGTTGAAAAAGCTTCCCGTCACTGTGTATGATCCTTTAATGTGTTTGCTTGGAAGCTCTTGGCTTCCCTGCTGCTGCTGTTGCTAAGTCGCTTCAGTCGTGTCCGAGTCTGTGCGACCTCACAGACGGCAGCCTATCAGGCTCCTCTGTCCCTGGGATTCTCCAGGCAAGAATACTGGAGTGGGTTGCCATTTCCTTCTCCAATGCATGCATGCACGCTAAGTCGCTTCAGTCGTGTCCGACTCTGTGCGACGCCATGGACAGCAGCCCACCAGACTGCTCTGTCCACGGAATTCTCCAGGCAAGAGTACTGGAGTGGGTTGCCGTTTCCTTCTCTATGGCTTCCCTGTTCTGGGAGTAAATAAGAACCCCAGCCAGGGAGGGAGGCTGGTGAGAAGGGCGAGGTAGGAAAGCCCAGGTGCAAAAGGTGGATCTTCCTCTGAATTGGATGAGGGTAGGGTTCGGTTCCTTACCTTCATTTCTTTTTTTCAAAATACCAGGATGGAAAATTGCTGTAACTTTCTTGCCCAAGTCTGGAGGCACAGCGGAGGATTAAGTTTCCCAGAAGTGTGTTGATTGCCTTTCGCGTTAAATCTTGCTCCTGACCTTTTTGTTACCAGAGTTTCTCCTGAGTGTGCATCGGGTGTTGCCCGCCCTGCAGCGATAGGTGAAATTCTGCATGCGGTTAGCCTGGAAGAAGGGACACCTGAGGGGCAGCTCTGAGAGGAGGTACTTGAAGTCACCGTGGTCTATGTATAAGCAAAGTTTGCGAGACAGGAGATACAGATATAGCTATGTATATCAAATTAGAACTTGTCTGCATGCAGGACAACCCTCTTGGTGGACAAGTGCATGATTAAGTTTGGGTCCAAAAGTTGATTGGTCCTTTCAAGATTCTAACAATTTGCTCCTGTTCTGAGGGGATATTTCAGGTCATGGGAGTTGTTACAGAAATTATTAAAAAATAAAATCTGCCAACCAAGAAATTCCTCTCTACAAATGTGGGAAAGAACTAAATAGTTTTGTTATCAAATAAGCATTTAACCAGATGGCTACGCACATCACGAGCAGTCTGCTAGTGGGATTGCGAAGACTGAATTCTCACCGCTTTTAGTATCTACGTAGGTGCAACCTATTTCATATTCTGTATGTACCCTCATGATAAACAGTAATTTGTCCTTAAGAGGACTTAACTGAACCATTTGCTACACATGGTTCACTCTAAATTCACTGGTAGTGAGATGGTGTTTGTGTTAGTTACTCTTACATAAAAGGAAAAAATTGTCAGTGTCTTTATAACCATGTAGTCGCAGCATAGAAAAGTACCAAGCTCAGACTCAAACGGATAAGGAGATGGGGACTCCTTCCTTGATTTTTACACTTCAAACAGATGACATCAAAGTCACTGAGAAAGACTTCTTAAGGTTGTAAACCAACAAGAGGCTTAGCTTTCTAAAAGATGCACATTCATACTAAAAGGACAAAGGAGTTACAGTTAGAAGTTTGCTCAAGGAAATTTTCACAAAAAAGGGAGTAGGAAAAAGCTTCCTTTCCCTTCTGGCACAAGGGGAAGAGAATCCATTTTTTAAAAGATTTGTACTTATTCTTGCTGCCAAAGCTTAATTTGTTGTCTTTGTGTCAGAGATATTTCTGTGTAAGTGTTTAGTCAGGTGACCTGAACCCGGATACCTACTAACTTATACTTACTGAAAAAGATGAAACTGACAAAGTCTTACTACTTCCCCAAATCATCATTACCATGGTCAGACAGCTTACAAAATAAGTTGTTCACAGTCCCTTCTGTTGGTCATTTATTGGACTGGAACCTGGTGGTCCGGAGTCGATGATAAGAGGGTGAAAGAAGGAAAGAGGCTAATATTCCCTGGGTTACGCAACCGACTTTTGTGCTCCAGGGAATCAGCCAGAAATAGAGAGGGGGGCGGGGAGAAAGAAAGACACAGGGACCCAAGCTCTGATGGAGCAAAGGTGTTTTAATCAACATGGTGTGAGCGTATATACTGTCTTACTGTCTTACTTATTCTCAGCAAAGATAAAGATTAAAATTCCGGACTTAAAAAACACAAGGCGATCCATGTTAAAGAGAGGGAGTTGTAAACAAATCACTTTTACCATATGGTTCATAAGAAGGAAGAGGATACTTACCACCATATTGAAAAACTAATGAAGGAGATGCCTGGATTCCTCAGCCCCGGGAAAGGCTTGCCTTTCCTCTTAACTCCTGAATATTCAGGAATTAATAAGGAACGGAGGATTCCTGACAGATCCAAAACAGCACACAGGAAGCCTCCTGTTAAATGCTTCCTGACAATTCCCCCTATTTTATTATATTTGTAAAAAAAAAAAAAAAAAAGGCCTGATCAACTGAGTCTGGTTAGTATTAACCAACCTTGTAGAAAGGCGATGATAAACAAATACAATTATCAAGACAGTCACCAAAGTTACAGTTCCAGACCTGATGCTGTGGGTAATACTTTGAAACCATCCTCGTGGGTCTGGCCCGGATAATTTGTTCAGCTAAAGTTTCCAAATTAGTGGAAGACAGCAGATATTTAGAAGAAGTTTCAAAGATTTCCTTTTGCAGTAATTGTACATTCAGAGAGGCATTATCATGTAAATGAAATTTGATTTGTTCCCAGTTGTAGGTATTATGATCGAAATGAACAGGGGTAACACAAAATTGGCAGTTAATACAAGTTACAGAACGTAAAGTCTTATTAAATTGTAAATTTCCTATGGCTATAACAAAAGGAACTGGGACACAGGCCTGTATAAAATATGACTGACTATAGCAAAAGAAATAGTTACTATGACCACGACTGATCCCTGTGAAATGTCCGGTCTAAGTCCCAAGTTCTTCGGTGCTGGCAGCAAGTTTCCGTATGTCCCATTGTTCAGGCCCAATTTGTTTATCGAGGACCATTTGAGGAGGAGGAGCGGATGCCATTCCACAGTCAAGCCAGCCAAGAAGTCCTTTGTCATGGTAATGTTTCATTTGTAACCTTTTACATAATGTTTTTTGTTCTTTCCCTAAAGTTTCAGTAGTGTAAACATGGTTTACAGACAAAGGGCAGCAATGTCCAAAAGTCTTCTTTTGGAGGCAGGATGAAAGCCCAAGTTTGTAGGCTAATGTTTAAGCATAATTTTGCTGGGCCCATGCACAGTGGAAAGACTTCATAGCCTAAAGAAATGTTTACTAGTTTTCCCTCCTCCCCAGGGTGTGAGGGTTCCAGCGAGGGGGCATATGGGTGGAGTCATTAGTTGATATGATCGGTCTTTTCTCCCTCCATTTTATGACCTATAATAAAGGGAGGTTGGGTAAGAAAGCCCAGTTAAGTTTGGGAGGCACAGGCTAGCAGGCTGAGCATTGTCAGGAAAGTGTATTCAGGACTTCAAGGCATTCCCTGTTGAGAGACCAAATTTTCAGCTTGATTAGTAAGGGTTTTTATCTGTCCTCAAGAGAGGAGGTCATAGGATTGATGCTGTCAAGGGCGGTACTTCCTGGAGATCTTTAGAGCCGCCATGGCCCGTATTGAAATTTCTTCCTCCTGAGGTTCTTGTTGTTTCATCTTCATTTTGAATGTCAGGGGGCCCCCTTGGGTCAAATCTTTTGGAGAGGAAGCCATGTGAGTTCATTGGATCCATCTGGGGAAATACAAGCATATCCCTTTCCCTGTAAGATTAGTTTCCCAGATTTCCATTGTTTATTGAACCCGTCTTGACACCAAATGGGCAGAGGAAGAGAAGTGTCCTTTAATTCCTTCGAAATGTCTTTCTGCCCTTGTTAAAATAGTTCCCTGTGGTAGGTTTAAAAAATTTAAAACAAATAAAGCTGTATTAGCAATAGTTACAGGTTTAGAAAATATCTTATGTTGGAATCTAGTAAAGTCTGCTTTAGATAAGGAAGACAGTAGTGTTCCTGTGTATTCCCCCTTCTTTAACTTTTTTATTTGTAACTTTAGTGATGTGTTCATTCGACAGTGTCTTGTGTCTGTGGATTATAAGGAATACCTGTAATATGTTTAATAGAAAAAGATTGTAAAAATTGTTTAAAGTGTCTAGAAAAATAGGCAGGGCCATTGTCTGTTTTAATAGAACTAGGAGTTTATGGTGGAGGTTTCTATTTTTTAATTAAAAAAACTGAATATATAGAGTCAGAGACTATATTAATGGGGTAAGGATGTAGGCAAATAACTTGAATTCATTTTGTTGAGCAGAATGAAATTTAGTATAAAAGACTATATTTTTTAAGAGACCAGAATGAAGCTTTGGTGTTTTTAGTCCCATCTATATAAAAGAAATGTGAGAAATAATAAATTTTTTAGAAAAGCTATTTGGAAATTGGTAGAAGTTTGCAATGTGTTCTCAAATTGAGATTTATCATATATAACTACTAGCAATCTGCTAATTAGAGAAAGGAAATGTCTCAAAACTCAGAGAATAGCACCATGCCCCTCACCCACAACATGCATTTTGAGATAATCTTGGCACCAGGTGAGTTGTCCCAGGTCATAAAATGATTGACATGAATCTTGAAGAAAGGCAGATTACCATACAAATAGTTTTGTTTACATAGATTAGGGGAACAATATCTGAGTATAACATAATGGTTTGTCAAGTAGGTTCTGAGCCATTAGGCGGACTCTGAAGACAGAGTCTGGGGTAAATGTATAGCACATTAACATAGCTTAAGACAAACATTTCCATGAGAAAAATGCATTGGTTAACTCAGGGTTTGAGAATAGTTAACTTCAAGTGAAACCAGGTGTCATTATGACAACACAATATTTTAAGAGAAACCTTTTAAATTTGTATAGAGAAGGAAAAAAAAAAAGAAATATCGCTAGTTTGTTTCCTCCTGCCACTTAAGAGAGAGAAAAATGTCTGACACTTGCAGCCTATTTTCTCCATTTGGAGAGTC